GCTGAGGACTGATCGTGTGGGCCTGGAGACGCGCCAGACGCTGTTCTCCTGAGCACCTTCCACGTATCGACGCCCCGAATTCCCTGAACTATGGAGTAGGCGCTGTTGTCACCCTCCCGCCCCCCGTCTTACAGGTGACGCACTTGAGAGGTTAAATAGCATGCCCAGGGATCCACCTGGTGACACTGGGGACAGTCTTGGGGATGATGGAGGTCCTCACCGTGACCCGTGTGGTGATGACAATGACAGTAATGACAGGTGACTGCGGTCAGGTGGTTGATGACGACACGGGCTGGGCTTGTAGTAACCACGGGGATGCAGGTGTTGGTGACAGCTGAGGTGACAGTGTCCAACCACAGTGACGATGGTGGTGCTGGTGACAGGAACGATTGAGGTTTGGTGGGTGACAGCAGCGGCGGCCACGTTTGGGGAAAACACCAGGGTGTCCGTGCTGGGGATTGATGATGGTGGCGGTGTTCGCCAGCCACGGTGGTGGCGATGGTGATGGTGCTGTGGTGAGGCCAGCAAGCCTGCGGCTGCGTTTTGTTGCTGATGGTGGTGGCAGTGCCTATGTCTTCGGCGGTCACAGGGCTGCCGGCGGCGGGCGGGCTGGCGTCGGCGGTGCTGACGGAGCCCCTCCCTTGCAGACGTGAAGTTCCTGAACAACCACAGCCTGGTGAAGGACGCTCAGGAGAAGGCCAACTCCGCCCTGCTCGACTACACCCTGTGCCACTACCCGCACTTCGGGGACAAGTTCCAGCAGCTGCTGCTGTGCTTGGTGGAGGTGCGGGAGCTGAGCACGCAGGCCAAGGAGTACCTGTACCACAAGCACCTGGGCAACGAGATGCCCCGCAACAACCTGCTCATCGAGATGCTGCAGGCCAAGCAGACTTGAGCCAGGGCGGGGCGGGGCCGGACCAGGACCCGGTGGGGGGGTGGGGGTGGGGGCGCAGCCACCCCCCCAGGCCCTCCCGACGGCTTCTTTTATTTTGCCGACCCAGGAGCCCCGTCCTGTCTGTAGGCTGATGCCCCTGAGCTCTGGGAAGCCCCGTGTTTGGGAAGCGGGTGAGGGCGGCGGGGCCTGGCTGCGTTGGGGTGGCCCCCACTAGCCACCGGCACTTGCCTGCCACTCGAGAGTGTCCCCAGGTGGTGGCTGCTGACCACCCCTCCCCCTCCCCTCCCCCTCCCCCTGCTCCCCGCTCCCCGCCGTCTGTGCTGGAGCCTGGAGCACAGGTCCGGGGAGCAGGTTCAGGAACCCCTGGTGGGCCTTGGCGTCCCTTGGGTCAGAGGTCATCCCCCCCTTCTTCTGGAAACAGAGGTAGAAAGGGGTTGAATGGCACCAACTGGGGGAGCAGGGGTCTCCAGAGTCCCCTCAGAGGGACCAGGAGGAAAGTCCTCTGTTTTGTGACCCGGGGATAACTGAGTTTGCGAAGCTGGACGGGGCCTATCGGGTCCTGGGGGCCCTGGGGGCCCGGCTAGGACAGAAAGAACCCCTCCCCAGCCCTCTGCCCCATTTGGCCTCGCAGGGGAGAACTTCGACTTGTTATCCGGAAAGAATTTTGCTACAATCGTCTTTCTGCCCCCCTCCCACTGGAGGAGAAGTTTGGCACACTCCACATTCTAGCCCCGCCCACAGCTGGCCCGGCCAGGCTGGTATTTATCTGCAAGGCTGCGCAAGGCAGTCGGGAAAGAGGTTTTTTGCTTTGTTTTGTTTCTGAATCTAGATGCTCCTTGAAAGGTGTGTGTGTGGTGGGTAGGGGACAGATTTGAGGACTGAAGCTGGGGTGTGGGGATTAGCACCGAATACAGTCCATGCCCCCCCACACACAACCCCTCATACCAAGGACCGCACCGATGGTGCTGGGTCACTTTCTGGGACCCCCTCACTCAGTGATCAGCAGCATGCCCTGTGGGGGGTTCAGAGATTCCGTGGGTGGGAATATGGGTGACTTTGGGGAGGGTGTACGGTTCTCCAGATCAGGGACATTGCTAATAAGCCCCCCCCTTACTGGCTCCGTCCCACTGGGTCCTTTGCTGCAAACCCTCAAGGCTGGACCTCGACACCCTGGCCTTCTGCCCTGTGTCCCAAAAGACGCTTTCCAAGGCCAGGCCCCCAGGGAGAGGCCTCAGCTGCCCCCTGGCCCCTGGCCAGGCACTCACCTGTCTTGCTTTCTCATTGCCGTTGCAGCTCACGCCGAGTCTGCCCAGTTCGAGGCGACTGGGCGTTCCCGCCCCCGCCCGCCTGTCTCAGTCCCCGCCCCCGCCCACTGAAGCGTGTGCCCCCACCAAAGCCAGAGACCCACAGCCCCAAACGAGAAGTGCCCTTAAGAATCCCCCAGCCCCTGCAGCCCTGGAATAAATTTTGCAATTAGTTTCCAGCTACCTTTGGCTGTTTACATTGTGGGCCAAAGCAGAAGCTCCTGCAGGGGGCCTGGGCGGGCTAGGGCGGGCTAGGGTGGGGTAGCGCTCCCACTGGGATGGAGGCGACACGCAGGTAACCTTTGGTTGGGGACTCTGGGGAGGCAGGCTGGGGTGCAGGGGAGTAGCAGGTGCTGTGGGTGGGGGAGCTTTGGGCTCCAGCTCCTCCCTGGACGCTGCCGCACCCCACAGGCCTGGGCAACGCTCGGCCTTTGTGGCTCGAGCCTCCGTTCACCCTGGCGGTGCGGCTCAGATCCCACCTTGGGCAGGAGGGAGCAACCCTCACGTGAGCACCTACTGTGTGCCATCCCCCATCCACCCGCCCCCATGGTGGCCCCGTGAGGCAGGAGCTATGATCCAGGAGAGGCCCTCGGCAAGTGCTTCTCAGTTGGTGATGTGCAGGGACAGAATCAGACCTGGGTCCCCTTGACTTGAGAGCACCGGCCGGGCCCTCTCTGTCCATCTGGTGGCCAGCTTGGGGCCCCACGGCCTGGCCTTCTCACTGATTCCCTTGCCTCCCCCTCCCCCACCGCATGGTGGCAGCAGTGAGCAGACCAACCTCCGAGGAGGCTTCCCAGGGCTTTGCCTGCAGTGTCCAGCTTGTCCCATCTCTGCTTCACAGCTCTAGGCATGGGTGCCGAGGGGCGCAGTGGCCTGTCCAGGGTCACAGACTGAAGAAGAGGCAGAGCCATCATGCAGACCTTCTTGACCCACCTTGGCCAATCTCGTCCATGCCCAGGGCCACTCCTGGTCCCCTGTGCCTTTTCTATGACCACGGCTGCTGGGGGCAGTCCAGACAGAACAGCGTGAGCAAGGAGGCAGAGGGGGGTCAGCCAGCGGTGTTTGGGGACCCAAGAGAAGTAATTTTGGTTGGGGAGCAAGGGGAGTGCGTGGGGAGGAAGTATGCAGCAGGTGGAGGGGAGAGGAAGGGATTTCAGGTCCCAGCCTGGGGGCCCGCCCCCCACCTGCCCCATATTAGTTTGGGAGGGGAGGGGGGAGCCCTTTGCAAGTGAGGGGGAGGGGTCAGAGGACACTGCAAAGACAGGCAGTAGGGACTACCAACTGCCCCGCCCAGTTCAGCGCAGCTGATGTCCCTTGTTCTGCAGATGATGAACTGGCCTCAAGAGGTTCACCAGCGCCCCTCACCCCCAGCATGAAATACCCAGACCTCCGTCTTTGCGTGGAGGGTCTACCCCCGACCTCACTCCACCCCCTGTAGATTTTGTCCCAGACGAAAACCAGGCAGGGCCCAGGGCGGGAGCACAGGTGTTGCAGGGAGCTAGGTGCAGCTTGCACTTTGCAGGGCCTCAGGGCTCTGGCTGGCTCAGCCCTGCCCCACCTCCCCCCACCCACGCCTGGCGTGATCACCTGCCTCCCCAGGGTGGCCGCTCTGACACTCTTCCACTGCCGTCCTCCAGCCCCAGCAGCACTTGAGCCAGGCTGGAGCCAACAGGACAGGTAGCCTCTGTGCCCCGAGTCCCAGTCCCTGGGCGCCCCCTTGACTGGCCCTGGCCGCGGGTCTGCCCTGGCGCCGCGCCCTAGCACAGCACCAGTGTTTGGCTCTGAAGTCGTCAACCCAAGAAAAGACCCAGACCCAGACGTGGAGAAGGCTCCTGCCGCAGAACGGGTAGTGGCAGGACCCGGCTGCACAGCCTGGCTGGGTCGGGCACCTCTGGAGGCATGATTTTCACGGACCTGAGCCAGTCCCACCCACCCCAGCGCCTCCTCTGAGCAGTCTGCCTGAGCGGCTGCCATTCACACCCACAGCCACCCCGTCCCCCGGCTGGGGAGACCCAGGGCTGAGCCACGGGGACCTCTGTTTCTTTCTCTGCACGGCGGGTGACGGTGGCCTGCGGTCTGAGGAGACGACCTGGGGCTCTAGGGCGGTGATGGGCTCAGCACCAGCCAGCTATGTAGGAGGTGCTAATAGGCGTTGGCTGCACCTACCCTGATGGTGACGCTGGGACTTAGAGTCCCAAAGCTAAAGTGGCAGCTTCCCTTGTCGCTCTCTTCTCCCAGGGAGCCTGGCATCCTGTCCCCATCCCCAGGCCAGGGCAATCCCAGAGAGGGACAGGTCACAAGAGGTTTATTACGAGAGACACCTCAGGGCCATTGGAACTCTAGGGCAGGTGTGTGTGTTGGGGGGGCAGTCACAAACAGAAAGGGGGACAGAGCAGTGGGACCTTGGTGGGGTCTGTGAGAGCACAGGAGGGGGATTTGGCATGAGAGAGCAGGAGAGGCTTTGGGGGCTGGGAGCAGGCGGTGGTCCACGCTGATGTCTGCCACTCGGGGCCTCCGTTTGGGCCTTCCAGGCATCCCCAGGAGGAGCTTGGAGAAGAGTCCCCAAGCACTCTCTAGAAACCTGGGAGAGAAGGGCACCCTTTGGGCTGGGCTGGCAGAGAATCAGGGTGGGTGACCCCGGCAGCCCCCAAGACTAGGAGGGGGCTGGGAACTGAGGCTGGGCTAAGACCTTGGGTGGGAGTCTTGGCCTGGGGACCCTGGTCAGTCTTCCTCGCTCCCCCTCTGAGCCTCAGTTTCTCCATCCAAAGAACACCTGCGTGCCCCGATGGCTCCGTGGGCTTTCAGGAGGGTGGGGCAGGCTCTTCGAAGGACACGCAGCTGGCAGCCTTCACTCCTTCGCGCCTCTGGCTCAGGTTACCTGAGTAGGTCGCGGGGTGGAGCTGGGGGGCTAGGGCGTCCGGAGGGTGGGGCCGGGCCGCGGGCAGAGGGGAGGAGGCTCGGTTGCTAGGAGCGGCCTTAGCAACCCACTCATTCAGCGGAAACAAAGGCGCTGTCACTTGAGCACAGAGGCGCCGCGCCGCTCTCCTGTTCCCACAGACACGCTGTGCGGGCGCGGGGGGCAGTCCGGGGGAAGGCTGGGTCCGGGGCGAGGGCTGGGGAAGCTCGGGTCTCCGGGGAATGCAGCCCTGGGCTGGGCGCCTGCGTCCTCCCTGCAGGCCTGCAGGGGGCGCCTCCAGCCCATTTTGCAAAAGGGCGAGAAGCTGAGACTCCAAGGGCCTGAGGACACTAGGCAGGGGTGACGGCCAGCTGGGAGCTCGGGGGTCACACAGACCAGGGTTGGAATGTGCCTGTGCATACACCTACGTGACCACCCCTGCGCTTCAGTGTCCTAACTGCCGGGGCGGGGAGCCGACCCCACCTTCGCCACGGACCCTGGCTAGTCCTGGCTCCATCCCGTGCCTCGGTTTCCCTATTGATGCCACGGGAGGAGGACAGCATCTCCATTTGCCCGGGTCTCCAGATAACGTCAGCAAATGCCCCGGGGTTAGCCCAACCCCAGAGCTCAGCAAACGGGCCTCTTGTCCTGGCTGAAAACAATTACGGGTTTCGACGGGCGGGGGGCAGAGCTGAGCTACCGCCTGGCAGGGGGGCCTCTGGCCTCAGATGGCGGGGGCTCAGGCCCAGAGAGGCCGACAGACCTGGGTGCCCGCAGCTCCCTTCCGGCCGGGCTGAGCTGCCCAACCTGAGCAGGCCTCGGGTGGCCCCAGCCTGGCCCCACTGCCCACAGCTGCCCCCGGCATGCCTCCATCAGCTGTCCGGTGGGAAAGCCGAGGCCTTGGAGGGGACACTTGCTCCTCCCTTGGTTTGGAAGGCCCCTCAGAACCCGAGGTATCAGCAGGGGGGCCCTGACAGGGGATGAGGCCAGGCTTGGGGGGCCAGAGAGAGCAGGTGCACAGAGGACTCTGGGAAGGCAGGCTTCTTGCTCACTGCCCCTTCTGGCACGCCAGCTCTGGGAAGGGGACCCTAAGTAACCCCCTCCCAGGGAGCACTGCGTTTTCAAGGAGCACAGTGAGAGCAAGGGACTCGAATTGTGAGTGGTCAGGGGTGGCTGCTTCTCAAATCACTTTCAAATATTCTGACACTGGAGGGAAGGGGCATCCAGGCGCCAAGGGGGGAAGAGGAACCCCCCTGAGGAGGAGGTGCTCTACCTGAAGACTTGAATGCCATCAGCTCCACAGCCTGAGGACAGAGGATGTCATCAGGGGGCGGGCCCTCGATACCTCTGCTCCCCCCTGCCCTCGTGGCTTGCCCTGGCGGCCCGCAGCTACCTTGGTGATAACTCCCTCACGCCGCACCGTGGCCTTGGCATTCAGGATCTGCCAGCATGCAGTCTGCACCTCCCGGCTGCTGCCAGAGCCTGCCAGCCTGGTAACTGAGGAGGGGGGGCCCTTGGATCCCCAGGGGGAACCCACCACCCTAGCCCCACCCTGAAGCCTGTGGTTCCCCATCCCTGCTGGACACACTCACTAGCCCCCTGGCAAAACCCGGCCGCCCCTGTCCCAGCCTCACCGGTCTCTTGGGTTCTGCAATGGGGGAGAAGGTTGTGGGATCCTGGAGCTGTGGGCCCTGGTGGGGGAACACACTCAAGGAGGTGGCATTTGGGGAGGCGGGAAGCTCCCTCTGCGCTACCCCATCCTGGGTGGGGACCTCGTTATCAGAGAACCTAAGAATCCACCCAAGGGTTTACCCTCCAGGTTAGTGATGGGAAATGGAAGGCCCAGAGAGGGCAGGTAACTTGCCCAGGGGCACACAGCAGGGAACCAGAAGCTGGGATTGGAACGCCTGCCCTGGCCTGCAGGTCATCCAACCCACACCTTGTCCCAGGGCCCTGGTCCCCATCCTCCCACCTGCCTTTGGGGACCCCCTCAAGCCCCTTCCACACGGGTACCCAGGGAAGGGGACCCAGGGCAAACGGCACCTCTGGGCTGGGTGCCAGGGGCCGCTGTTCCCTGGAGGTGCTGCCGATGGGGGTGGGAGGAAAGCAGCCATTTCCAAGCCATCCCTCAGGCCCCAAGGTCGCAGGATTTCCTGGACCTCAGGCTCTCTGTCTTTCAGACGTGCTGCTGCCTGCCCAGCTCTACCTGGGCCCTGGGGAAACTGAGGCACTGGGTAGCACTTGTACTGGAGGGTGGTGAGGACATACCTCCGAGAGCCCAGTGTCTTCGGGTGGAGCCAAGGCCTCTACCCTCCACCCCTCCAGGCCTCACGCCCCAGCCCCGCCCACCCTCACAGCCTCACCCCGCCGCAGGGGGAGGGGGGCGAGAGCGGGCACACCTTCCTGAAGCTCCAAGGCTAAGTCAGGTCCTGGGACAGCAGAACTGTGATTGCGTTCTGACTGTGCCTCCGGCAGAGTGGCCTTCACCTCTGTGTGCCTCTGTCATCACATCTGGAGCAGGGGGCCGAGGCCAGGACTTGCCCCCGACGGGGCTGGGAGGGGCTGCATGTATGCAGGACACAGGGAGGGGCTGGGGCGTGGCTGGCTGCGTCCTCCACACAGGAGGACCAGGCCTCATTCCACTTGGGGTCTCACTTGCCCCTCATAGCAACCCCGTGGTGGAGGTGGGTGGATTCGCCCTCCCCATTTGATGGAGAGGGACCGTGAGGCCTGGGGTGGGCACAGAGCCTCGGCCCTTCTGAGCCCACCCCTGGCTGACTGGGAATGGGCCAGAGCGGTCACACTCAGAGCGATGGAGAGGCCGGGTGAGTGACAGAAAGGCAGAGGCTCAAAGATCCACAAAAGGGGGGACAGAGAGAGAGGGACCCAGGAAGAGCTAGGTGGGATGCAAGCCAGAGAAGGGGGCAGGGAGAGGGGACAGTGACAGAGGCTGAGGGACAGAGAGTCTCTCAGAAAAAATTCTGAAACAGAGACAAAGAAAGGAGACACCACGAGAGGAAAGGAGAAGAAGGGGAAGGGAGGGAGGTGGCCAGGGCGGGGATGGTGGCGCTGGCTGCCCGCAGCTGTGTCCAGCTGAGGGCCGCAGGCAGGGACGGAGCTGGAGTCATCACCATGGCAACAGGAGGGTGCTGCAGGCCCCACTCTGTGCCAGGTGGAGAAACCCAGGCAAGGCCACATGGCAGAGGGTGCAGAGCTGGGATTCGAACCCATGGAGCTCTGAAAGAGAGCTGGGTCTTGGGAGAAGGGCGTGTGAGTGTGGGGGGGGTGGGGAGGTGCAGCACTGCCCTCTGTCCCCAACTGCGTAGGCCCAGACAGGTCTCTGGGGGGCGTGCTTCTTTGAGGACAGCAGTGGAACCCCAGTTTTCTTCATTCTCCAGGCCCCTCTCTGGGCATGGCCTCCACCCTTCCCCAGCGATCCTTTCCTCTCCCCATTCCCACCCGGGGCTGGCAGAGGGGGGCCAGTCCCCAAGGCCCAGGGGAGAAGACAACACGGGCCAGGCCCGGGGTGACCAGCCCCCTGGGGACCCCTCCCGCGCCAAGCTCAGTGCTCCTTCAGCCCTCCCTCCCCCGCGTTGGTCATGGCCTGCACCCCCACACTGGTCAGTGCAGGGCACTCAGCAGCCCGCGTTGCTGCTGGGTCCCAGTGCCTAGAGCCGTGCCCGGCAGCTGGTGGGCATTGAACGCATCTCCAGAAGGTGGGTGAATGACTGGGTCGGGGCACCCCTCCCCACTCGCACCCCAGGTCAGCCTCGACGGCGCTTCCAGGAACAAGCCCGGCTCCGCTGCGGTCCAGGCTGAATCCCACGACGGTTGACAACTCAGTCTCCCCACTGTCCCCAGCGCCGCCCCTTCCTACTTGAGGCCTTGGGCAGGTTTTGCAGGGTGTCCATTTCTCCACTTCTAAGGCTTGTTCGGGGATAAAAACAGGAGCTGGGGCTCAGAGAGAGCACCGGCGCATCCGAGGGGACTGTCCCCCCCCATCCCCGACCACAGCCCCCTTCTCCCAGCAGGAGGCCCGGCTCTGGGCATGCGGACCCAGGATGGAGTTCGCACCGGAGTCTCTGAGCTTGCCTTTGTGTAGTGATGGGCCGCCCCACCTCTTGGCCCGGAGAGGGACCTGGGCTGGGGCGCGCCGGGTGGGCACAGACAACAGGAACATGTGTGTGGGGGGAGGGGGGAGTACGGCAAGGTAGGTGGAGGGGAAGGGTGGGGGCAGGGGAACCCTCCTCGGACCCCCGTCTCTACCTGCACCCCCCTGGGCTGCAGCTGTCTCTGTCCATGTCCAGGTCCCCACAGGTGTGCAACCCCCCTGAGGACAGGGACCTCGTCTGTCCCATTTCCGTGGCTCAAACCACAGGAAACACTCGGGGCGGGGGTGATTTCCTGGTCCCAGCATTCCTGCTTCATTCACGTGGGTCAAGCGCGGCCTTCCCAGCCATGCCCTTGGCTAACCTGCTGCCCCCACCGACGGAGCAGCCCACATGGACCTACCACACGGTAGGCCGCAGGCCCCGAGGGGAGAGATGTCCCTTCTGCCCTGCACCACCATCCCCAGCTTCCTGCTGGGGCCAAAGTGACTTTGGCACCAGCCTGGCGCTGGAACTTCCACCTCGCCCTTGAACGTTAGGGCAGAGGGATCTCAACGATTCCCTTTCTGGGCCTCAGTTTCCCCAACTGTTAAATGGGCCATGGAGTACTTGCATTTGAGGTTTTGCTCCCACCCCCTCCTCTTGACAATGTCCCCGGTTGCTGTTGGTACCTGCCATGAAGGGGAGGTGACTCCCCGGTCCTCTGACAAACCAGTCACCCCCTCCGGGTTCCAGTGCATGTCGGAGCCCCGGTCCCACCGGCTCCAGGGCCTGGAGGTACCTGGAAGGAATTAAGGCCCACGGCGGCGTAGGCACAGGCCGGGCTGAGGTGCACCAGCGTGCCCAGCAGCCAGGTCAGGCCCAGCACGGGCTGCAGGACCCGCGGGGGCCTTACAGCCGCCCTGTGGAGAGCAGGCCAGGCTGGGGAAGGAGGGCTCCGGGAGGGGCAGCATGTGGGAGGAGCCTGGGGGGGCGGAGCTGCAGAGCAGGATCCCGATTCAGGACTCAGGTGTGGCTGGACTTGGCTGTCCCTTCCCCAAGACCCAGAGGCGGTAAGCTTACATACCTCCTATGACAGGGAGCTCACTACCTTACGGGTAAGAGGCTCCCCCTGAGTGGGGCCTGAAGCTACCCCCACAAGGCAGACAGTGAATGAAAGCTCAAAACACCTGAGTCCTGCCTCATCCTCGGGCAGAATGGATGTCTTTAAAGAATCGCCTCCGTTAAGGAACCTGACAAGGGAATATCACCAGATGCTGAAGTTCCAGAAGGCGCAGACCGGCTCCGCCAGCTTCTGCGAGAAGGCCCGAGGGCAGGGAACAGGGAGAGGGCAGGTGTGTGTGGCAAAGGAGGGAGACCAGGGGATACATCCAGGGGATGCCCCTCCTTGTGTTGGAGGGGCTGGGGTTGCCCAGCGTGGGTCAGGGGTGGAGGGGCTGGAGGAAACGTCCGTGAGAAGCAAAGCGAGGCGAGCTTCACGCATGATGTGGAAACACGGGGACAAGCGAGCTGCCCTCTGGGGAGGGGTGAAGCCACCTGGACGCTCTGCACCAGGTGAGGACGGACAGGTCTCTACCCTCTGACGGGGAGGGAGCTCCGCCACGTTGCTCAGTAAAGAGAAAAGCTGCCCGACCACGTGCAGAGCAGGAACCCATTTATGTAGAAAAAAGTGAGGGCGGTGTAGTGAGAAAACTGGCATGAGGGGCTGCAGTCAAACACACAGCTACCTGACCGCCCCTGAACTGTGACGATAGAGGGGTTTTTGTCACCAGCGGTGAGCAGACAGCTGGCGGCCAGCGGTACCAGCCCCTGTCCCGCAGGGAGGCAGCCTGAGCGCCGGACTTGGGCTCCGTGTCCCAAACGGGGAGGGTGACGGCACTGTCACCTCCCTACAACGTCGTGTTCTGCAAAGTTCTTTCATGCGATTTGGTGTGCGTGGTCGCAGTAACGTTGGAGACAGGTATACGGTCCTGTCATTCAGGTGAGGAAACGGCCTCAGAGAGGGGAGTCCGTCTGCCCAAGGCCACGCAGCACTGAGCTGACGCCTGGCCCGACTCGATCAGCGCCACGCTCTTCCCGCCGCGCCGTGGCGCCGCCTGCAGAGAACGCGCTGCTGCTCGGGCTGACTGAGTCGTCACCCCAGGCATTCACGTGCTCACCGCACGTGTCCGGGGCCTCGGGTCCTGGGTGAGGTGCCCGGAGCGCCAAGACAGCTGCCGCACGCTTTCACAGCAGGTGACTATCATTCCACCCACAGCGCCTCCGAGTGGGGCAAACGGAGCCATCACTGGGCACTTCTGGAGACTCAGAAGCCACCACGGTGTCTGTGGCCAGTGGCCCTGAACCTGGCAGTGTAGCCCCAGGAGAAAGCCACCAGAACATGTGTTAGGAGCGAGGATGTTCCCAGGGTTCGCAGGGTGAGCTGGGATCGAAGGAAAGCCTGTCGCTGTTTTGTGTGCCTGACCGGGAGGGAGTCCCATTCCTTTTGGACCGTTGCCACGGGAAGGGGGTGGTTTCAGACTTGGCTGCAGTCGAGGCCTGCACAGCATTGAAAGGGCAGGATGGCCGAGGGACATCTGTGATGGAGACAATGCAGAGACACCTGCAGGGGAAGTGGGAAACGCACCGTTGGCTTGGCTCAGCTGAACGAGCAAGGGCTGTGGTTGTGAAAAGGGGGAAAATGTAAGCACCACACGCGCCCGGGGGAAGACTGAGGGGGGACACACAGGGAAGCGTGCACGGCGGCTATCTCCGAGCAGGGGGCCGTGTCTTCCTCGCCGTTTCCTGTGTTTTCCAGATTTGCCACAATGAGCGATCTCTCACTTTCCGTTATTTTTTATTTTAAGGTACTTAAAATCATAGAGTTAATATAGAAATACAATCGTAACAGCTTTTTGCAAATGTAAACAGAATTGAAATTTCAGCTAGACCGGCCAAGAACGAAAAGGCAAAGGTCACTCCAGACGCCGAGGTGGGAAAAGGATGGTAATTGTCTACGAGCAGCCGGAACGGCAGCAAACCAGTGGAAGGGACCAGCTCCTGGAAAGGCACGAATTACCAAACCGTCCCAGGAAGAAATCAACCACCCACATAGCCTCCTGTCAGTGACATAAGTCGGGCGCATCTTTCAATCTTCCCACAAAGGAAACATCGGGCCCCGAAGACTTCACTGGTCTCCGCTACCATCGAGCATTTCGGGAGAAATTGTGCCAACTCTGCAAAACCCTTTCAGAAAACGGGAGAGGAGAGAACACTTCCCAACTCCCTCGATGAGGTTGGCGTTGGTTTGATCACAAAACCAGAGGAAGAGAGGAAGAGAAAGCTACAGGTCACACTCATGGGCATAAACACAAAAATCCTGAACACATATTAGCGAAATGAGTCCAGCAATGTATAATACAATATAACCAATGAGGTTTATCTCAGGAGTCCAAGGTGGCTTTACTATGTGAAAATCAAGCGATGCGATGTCCTATATTAATAGAATAAGAGAGAAAACGACACCTTGGGTGAACTTCGATAGAAGGGCACTGAATCTGAAGGGGCACCTGTGGAAAGCCAATAGACGAGATACACACCTCGATCGAGGAATGAAAGACTCATCCTGAGGTTGCCAGTTCAATGCAGTCCCAGTCAAAATCCCGGGAGGCTTTTTTTTTGTAGACAAGCTGATTCTAAAACTTACATGGCAATGCAAAGAACCTTGGATCACCTAGGGCTTACGCTAGCTGATTTTAAGGTTACCATGTAGCTACGCAGATCAGGACAGTATGGGCTGAGCAAGGGACAGGCAGAGACATCAGCGGGGCCGAAACAGCAGAGCCCAGAAACAGACTTGCACACAGGTGGACAACTGACTTTCAACGAGATGAAGGTGACGAGACAATTCAGTGGAAGAAAAAACAGCTTTTACAGCAAATGCGTTGGGAATGGACGTCTCTGCGAAATGAATGAACTTCAACCTTTACCTGATACCGTACTCAGAAATTAACATGAGATAAATCTCATAGGCCTACATGTAAAAGCTAAAATGATAAACTGCAAGGAAAAAAATGGATGAGTTGGACTTCATCACAGTCTCCCAAAGGCACTGTTAAGAAAATGAGAAGACACTCCATAGACTAGGAGAACTTATTCACGAAACACATATATGATGAAGGACTTAGATCCCAAATATATAAAGAATTCTTTTTTTTTAAAGATTTATTTATTTATTTATTTATTTTAGAGAGGGAAGGGAGGGAGAAAGAGGGAGAGAGAGAAACATCAATGTGCGGTCGCTGGGGGTCATGGCCTGCAACCCAGACATGTACCCTGACTAGGAATCGAACCTGAGACATTTTGGTTCACAGCCTGAGTTCACTCCACTGAGCCACGCCAGCCAGGGCAAGAATTCTTAAAAGTTAAAAATAAACAATCTAACAATCAGGGAAAAGACTCGAACACACACTTAACAAAGGAAGGCAGGAACGCCTCGTGAGCGCGTAGAAAGATGTGCAGAACCCTCGGTCCTGAGCCAACCGCAGCTGAGCACCGCAGTGAGATATTAACGCACGGCCGTGACGAACGACGACGTGGAAAACTCAGACACACGACGAGGAACGGCTGAAACTCTCCTACGCTGCCCGTGGGAACGTGAGATGGTACGACCCCTTTGGAAAACAGACAGTTTCTTAGGAAGTTCAGCGTACACTGACACAGCCCAGAAAGCCCACTTCTGGGTGCTCACCCCATAGAAAGATGCCGCATGTCCACGAGGAGGTGCATATGAGTGTTCCCAGCAGATCTGCTCACAGTAGCCTGAAGTGGAAACAGCGCTCCATCAGCAGGTAGGTGGGAAGACAAATTGTGACACAGCCACATACTGGACTTCCGCCCGGCAGCGAAGAGGAGCGAATGGTTGAGACGGCGACGCCACGATGCTTCGCCAAAACACCAGCCGAGCACAAGAAGCCGCCCACCGCGCACACCACATTGTGCCATTCAGGTGACACTTCAGAAGAGACAGGTATGACCTACAGTCCCCGAAAGCGGGTGGGTCCGTGGTTTCCTGGGGCTCGGAGAGCAGGGGAGGGGGCGTGTGAAGGAGTCTGGGGAAGGTGGGATTGTTCCCCGCGTTGACCGGGGCGGCGGTGCGGTGTGCAGACGCACTGGTCCCAGCTCATCGGTGTGTGGGGATCTGTGCGCTTCAGTGCACTTGATTTTCAAAAAGTCTTGGGACGGTATGCAAGCTATGTGTGTGTGTGCACTTGTGTGCACATGCGTGTGTCCAGGGGTAGTGGGTGGTGAGCAAAGGAGACTTTAGCTTTCTCTGAAATGTGCTAATATTTTTTCAGAAGCAAGAAAGAACGGGTATATTACAGGTAATAGAGTTAAACACCGGATCTTGGAGATATTTCCGTGTCAGTGTACGGCAAAATACCTCATTTCTCACTCAACTTCAGCTGCCTGTTCCATTGTGCGGCTCCACATGGCTTGTTAAATGGTTCCCTGTGGATGGGCGTCCAGGCACCTGCTGATGGGCACCTAGGGCACCCCAGCTCTGGGACGATCACAGCACCTCCCCCAAGCTCCCTTTCTGCCTACGGGGAACGTGGTACGGGCAGTTGGAGGGGCAAATGAATGGGGCTCACCTGAGGCCCCGGGCATAATGTGGGATACACTTTCCTCCCCCCCGCCCCGCCCCTGGAGGACATGGGGATGGCTTGTGGATGAGGAGTTTTCTTGAACAGTTTTAGACTTTGCTTGTCCAGTGAACAAATATTAGGGGGAGGGAGAGGCCCACCCAAGATAAGTGTATCGAGGTGGCTGCTTCCCAGACGTGTCCCCGGTACCTGGGCTTGGTGTCGCCAGTGAAAAGTCACAGCTGTGGTGACCTCCCCGGTCTCGTCCCGGAGCTCAGAAGAAATGACGGCTGAGCCCACGTGGGTGTGCCGCAATCTGTGGGGAGAGAGGGAGCTTTGAAGGGCCCCAGCTGGCTCTGAGGGGGAGGTCGTGTTTGGCTGGGGACCCTCTCATCCAGGCCACGGTGGCGACGACACCCTTTGTGTCCAAAGAAACACCAGGAGGTTGTTTCCTGTGCTGGGGGCTGCGGCACCTGCGCTCCATCCAGTCTCGTCTTGGGGACTTGCTGGTAATTCGAGTTAGGACCTGCCCCGTCCTTGAGTCTCAGCACCGAAGCCAGGACCCAGGCAGGGTCCCACGAGCCACGCTCCCACAGGCCACGCCCCCACAGGCACACACCTCTGGCAGGCCCAGAATCGTGTGTGTGTGTGTGTGTGTGTGTGTGTCGGGGGCAAGGGGGTTGGCCCCGGGCTAAGGGCAGATTTGCCCACTAGAACGAGGGGTTCTGGGAGGGGATGGAGGCCTGGACTACCCCGGGGAGGGCACCCAGGGTTTCAGCAGCCTGCCAGGGGGCGCATGCACTGTGCATCCCGCTCACCTCTTCAGAGCCGCTGGGGGCCTGGGGCCCCGGGCCAGGCTGCCCCAGGGCGTGCTGGAAGACGCTGGAGCAGAACCAGCTGTGGACGCCGTGGCTCCAGAGAGGCCTGGCTAGGTGGGAGGGGGCCCGAGACCCCAGCCAGTGACTGACTGAGCAGGCGCCATGGGTTCGCCCGAGGGAAAGGCTCTGCCCCTCTTACAGATGGGGAAACCGAGGCTCGCAGAGGTCACATGACTTCCCGAAGATCACCCAGTTAGTAAGTGGCAGAGCCAGAATCCCAGCCCCAGTTCACAGGTCTAAACTGGCAGCTCCAGGGCCCTCTGCTCCTTGTTCTAATCCTCCACCCACGGGTGGCACTGGGTGGGGGCTCCCTCCGCCACCCACATCTGAGGGAGAACCTATGGGGTCCAGTGGGGGACGTTCAGTGGACACCTGCTACCAGGTGCTTTCAACCTCCTAACAACCCACGAGGCCACTACTAACACGGCGACAATCTTCCAGATGAGGAAATGGCCTCTGAAGGGTGAGGTGACTTATTCTAAGTAGCAGAGCTGGCCGCTGTGATTGGCCCAGACCCCAATAGGTCCCACCGCCCCTCCACCCTCACCCGCCTTTCCCAAGGAGCCGCCTCACTTCAGCTGCGGGGACCTGCAGGCGGCCGGCCCCTCCGGGTGCCCGCCGGGCACTGTGAACACGCAGCCCTCTGCGCTGGCCTCTCTCAAGCTCCTGGGGTCAAATGGGGCTGGGTGGCTGGACCTCGCAGGGAGGTCTCTCTGCGGGGCTGGCCCAGCTGGCAGAGTCTGGTCCTGCTCTACCTGCCACAGGTCTGGGGGCCACTGTTCTGTTCAGAGAGGTTTGGCAACTTGCTCAGGGTGAACCCAGGGGGAGGGCGTCACCGCAAAGGGAGTTACAGGGGTGGAGGGATGGGCAGGGCCTGAGTATCTGTGAGCCATCGGACACCGATGGGCACGTGAAGGACGCAAGTCTTGCCTGGCGTTCCACCGGAAGTGCTCCCCCATTCGGTCTGCAAGCACTCCCTGAGTATGCGCTTGGGTCTGGCCCTGAGATGCGGAACGGAGTGGGAAAGAGCCCTGCCCTGGCACTCTGCAAGCCTCGGGTGGAATGACGTGATCCCCGCAAGTGCAACAGGAGGTACGTTCAAGACGCTAGGCTAACAGAGAAGGGAGGAACTGTCGGGACAGAGCCCAAACCAGGGAGGGCTTCCTAGAGGAGGCGATGCTTAAGCAGGTTCTGAAGGCTATGCAGGGATTTGCCAGGTCAGAGAGAAAGGACGTTCTGATTGGAGGGCACAGCGTGGGCAAAGGCAGAAACCAAGTGGGGCGTCTGGGAGTGCAGAGGGCTCGCAGGGAGCAGGGCTGAGGGGGCTGTCGGAGCCCAGGCCCCGCCCAGAGCCCTGATGTGGGGGCTGATGGGTAGCAGCCTCAGCAGCCTGGCGGTGCTGGGTGTGCACTCTGAATGCTCTGAAGGAGGGGCCATGCCTCCCCCTTCTTTGGCCTGACTCAGAGCTAGACCTGTAATAGGGGCTTGCCTTTCAGACCCCCAAGGAAAGCCTTGCAGGGACGGCAAGGACAGGGCAGGGAGGGGAGCAGTGCACCAACGGGCACCCACCCGCTCAGGGCTGGGCAAGTCCCCTGGTGCCCCCTGACTTCTCTCCGGTGTCTAAGCATATCATCCCTGTTCTCCAGGAAAAAGATGAGGTTCAGAGTCCAGCGTTTCCTAGTCTACCACAGAGCCTCGGATCCCCAGTCAAACGTGGGCTTACACCCTTCCCAGGATGGGGAGCTCACCACCTGAACAGGTGAACCATTCCCTGGAACCAGCCTCCTGTGCTGTGTCATCCCCGCCCAGTTTCCAAGCCCCGGTCCCAGTTCTGCCTTCTGGGGCCCAAGGGGGAACATCTTTGCTCCTTCGGCCCCAGAGATTTGCAGGCAATGTCTGTGACCCCTTGTTCTCTCCCTTCTCTAGGCTGATCACTCCCAAGCCTGCAGTCACTTTTGCTAGGATGAGGCTTCCAACACCCTCACCATCTGGACAGCGTCACTGGTGTTCTCGAGTGCCCGGGCCTTTTCGGCAGATACGGTGGCTGGACACTCAGCTCGGAGGACATCGCACTTGAGGCGGTCAGCAGATTCTTGGACATGGGGGAAGCCCATGTTGATTAGTGCCTCTCAATAATTTTTAACTCTTGCTCAAGAGCAGTTGTATGTGAAAATTCACTTTATAAAATAGGACCAAAGAGGAACTCCTCTTGCTGGACGGAGAGATGGAGCGCATGGCTGCGCCACCTGCTGGTGGCAAAGTTGGAACCAGAGCCCAGGCCCCTGCCCGCCGGCTCCGTGAACCTCACCTCGCTGACCGACAGCCACGCACCAGCCGGCCGCTGCTCCGGGACCATGCTGGCCACAGAGGGGACGCCTTGGCCCAGCTCCTCCCAGGGTCCCGTCAAGGCCTCTGGCCCCACAGCCCCAAGGGCTGTCACCCTCTTCAGGAAGTGTACGACAGCCAGCAGCGCAGCCAGCCCCAGAAGAGTGGCCTCCTTTGCCAGGACTCCCTCCAGGAAGCTGGAGGCCTTGTCAGGGGGCAGGTCTCCATGGGCTTCCGAGAGAGGGTCAGGGAGGAGCCGTGGGCAGAGGGGCCACTTACTGCTGGTCTGGCTGTCGGGGGGGATCCCCGGGGCCCACACTTGGGCTCTGCCAGGGCCTTCCTTCTTGGTGAGTGGGTGTCTAACTTGTCACAAGCCCCCAGTTCTCAAGGACTCCAAAATAGGGAGCATAAGCAACCCTAATTCCTGCAGACACATTCGGTGGGTGTCCCCTTTGCTAGTGAGGAAAGTGAGGTGCAGGGAGGTGACCCATGGTGCCCCAGACTCCTCAGCACCCCGGAAGGGGGCTCACCACGATGGCCTTGTCCGCGGCATTGACTCGGCTGATAACATCCTGGCCAGACCATGGCTGGGCCTCCTGCAGCCGCCGATAGGTCTCCGCGGAAGGGGCGCCGGGCTGGGATCTGGGCAACACTCTTCCCAGAGAAGCCCCACCCACCCTGCGCTGATGGGGAGGAACATTATGACGGCTGTGTGTCCAGTCTTTTACGTGGTGTTCTAGGTGGGGAAATCAAGGCACAGGACGGCAAAATCACTTGCCCAAGGTCACATAGCTGGGATTCACCCTCAGGTCTATATGGACCCACTGACCTGCGGTCCCCGGAAGCCCTGAGACTCTGAAAAGATTCTGAACTCCCAGGCTGTGTCAACTGCTGGCTCCCGCTCGGCCTGCGCTGGTGCACACCCAGCTTCCCCTTCAGCAGAACCCAGCACCCTGCGCAGGCGCACCTGTCCCCTAGCAGCAGAGGAAGAGCTGCCGCCGCAGGCGGGGCAAAGAGCCCTGGATGCAGGGTCCTGAGTCCCACGCAGGGCACTCCTCTGAGGGCACTGGCCACGGTGGGAGAGGTGTCAGGGCCGCATCCTGGCTCCCCATCGGTGCCTAAGACCCACTTTCTTTAAAGGTGCCTGCACCCCTGAGAGGGTGCCAGGACTCATGGCCTGGGAACTGAGAGAAGGTGGAGCAAGGAGGCCAGGGGGTGAGCGGCTCAAGCTGTTGGCACAGGGCGAATACTCAGGGGACTCGCCTCCTGGAGAGGACAGGGCAGGCCAGAGTTGCCGGTGGCCAGGTTGTCAAGGGTCCCAAGATCAGAAGGGAGGGTAAGGGGTCCAGGGGGTGGGGAGTTGAGTCAAAGGGCAGGACGGGGTCTGGCAGCCACAGGGCGGGGCGTGCCATACTGGGACAGAGAAGGCGCACCTGCACCGGTGGCAGCAGCAGCCGCCAGGGTGTGAGGTCGGGGACGCCCGAGTCCCAGCAGAAGGGCAGGCTGTCGGTGGGCGGCGCACAGGCCTGTGCGCTGCGTGGTGCTCAGTGCCTGGGCCCAGAGGTGGAAGTCGGTGAGGTTGCCCCAAAGGCATCACCCACGGAGAAGACACCACCGAGAATCCTGATCTTAACCCAGCACGAGGATGCCGCCAGGTGGCACCAGCTGGCCTGCGCCCAGTCCCTGAACTCCTGCGCCCAGTCCCTGAACTCCTCCGCGCCGCCGCCGGTCCCAAACAGCACCCAGCGCCGGCCACGCTGCTCCCATGTGGCGCACATGTGGTGCCAGCGGCCATCCGCGAGGAGGGCAGCGAGGAAGGGCTCGTGGTGCCCGCGCACCAGAAGCACGACGGGCACGGCGCTGCCAGGCTCGGCCAAAGCGCGCAGCTGCTGCGCGTTAGCCAGCGTTGGCGCGCCGAGAGAGAACAGCGCGGCGGTGTCGGTAGAGGCAGCGTCCCACTGCAGGTGCACGCACACCGTCAGCGCCCCCAGCGCGGGCAGGGGTTTCCGCAGCTGTGCCGCCGGGTCTGTGGTCCCCTCTCTTGGAGAACCAGCGCCGCTGTGGTTCGCGCGCCTGCCGGGATATACCGGCTGGGACCTCAGTCTCCCCAGCTGCGCACACCACCCTACCCCTGAAGCCCCTTCGGCGCCGCTGCAGCGTCCCTCCTTGGCTTTGGGTGCCTGCCTGTCTCCCTCGGGAAGGAAGGAGTGGGGGCTCCAGTGCCCATGCCGGGGAATCAACCCTCTCTGTGACAGGGACTTCCTCTGGGCTCAATCTGCAAGGACTTCCACGGTGGGCTCCCGTCTCTGGAGATCACCAAAGCCTCTACCTCCCCAACTACCCAGGCCCACACTCATGCCTCCGTGGGCCTCTTTGTAAAGGGGCTTTTCTTTGGGCCACCCAGATGGTGTCGGGCAGCGGTGAAGCGAGGACCCCACCTGGGGCACCCAGTGCCGAGTGGCCAAACTGCTGCGCCGCAGGACTCTTGGGCGTGCCACCAGCTCAGCCGCTGCCCTGGGAACTTGCATCCCCCACCTGCCGTCTCCACCACCTCACCGAGGGCCACTGGGGCTGCAGGGCTAGAGGAGGGGTGGTGTGGGAGAGCAGTGTGTGAGCAACTGATGGGGGTCGGGGGTCAGGGGGTGGGGGTGGGAGGACAGGGACACTCAGCGTGGAGTCACTCTGGGCTGGACGGGGACGGACTCCGGCCATGCTGTCTCCCTTGCTGAGCCTGTTTCGTCATCGGTGTAATGGCAGGAGCGAGATGGACAGGAGAGAAACTTTCAGCCTGAGGCCAGGTGTGTGGGGCCTGAACCGAATGGCATTTCCTCACTTCCGCAGCCCAGGGACCACAGACTGGCGGAACTCGGGGAGGGGGATCCTCTGGGGGATTCCCTCACACCAACCTGTGTCCCGAGGGCTCCTCGATTCTCCTGGGGAGTTGGAGGGGGTCCCAGAGAGACCCCGTGTCTGAGAGAGAAGACGGGTGGGGGCTGGGTCAGGTGTGCACCCCCACATGTGCAGACACTGAATGCCGACTGTGTGCCCCAGTGGGGTGCGGTAGAAGCTGCAGGCTCTGCAGGCAGACCTGGCTCAAGGCCCGTGCAGAGTGTGGCCTTGGGTGGGCGACTTCCCTGTCCTGAGCCTGGTTCCTCCGTGCGAGGAATCAAGAAGCTAGTGAGTGAGTGTAAAAAGGTGTAGCATCTAGTACACGCTTTTGCTCTAGTTCTATGCCAGGGGCTTGTCTTTTGTAATCTTTGCAGTGACCTCATGGTGTGAGGTGGCAACTTGGAACCTTATTGGCTGTGAGTCCTCTCGGCCTCCTCCCTGGCACCCCCATCCCAGAAGCTCAGGTACCAGGAGGGAGGGGAGGCAGTGGCAGGCAGAGTGGGCCATTCTGGGCCCAGCGGGGCCGGTGAGGAGCTGTGGGGCTTGCAGGTGTGGCCCACGTGGGCTGAGGAAGGAAGAAAGCAAAGAAAATCAGCTCAGTGTCCTGCCTCGCTACCCCTCTGTCTGCCGGGCCATCCTGTCCCTTGTTTGGCTCCCACACCCCACTGGGCTGGACGCCCGGATGGGATGGCCCACCCACCGGGGATGACGTTTAGTTGCACAAAGGGATGGTCTCTAGGAGCCCCTTCCAGGACCGCTGGGAAACGCTGTCGCCCTGGTAAGCTGGGGGCAAGGGGGACGAAGTGCTGGGCCCCCACAGAGGGGCGGGGAGCTCAGGGCCCTGTAGGCTTCCTCCAGTTCTTTGGGGTTCACAGCTGGGCATTCAAAGCTCTGCTCGTCAGGCCTCTGCTAAGCTCACTGGCCTCCCCATCGCCCCGTGCGGTCACCTTTCCCCTGCTCCGAAGCCGCTCCCATGTCCCCTTTTCCCCGGGCAGCATCCCCTTCTCCGGACCTTTGACCATGCCGTCCCTCCTGCTGGACTGGCCTCCCAGTCCCTCGGGGGCGCCACCTGCAAGACCGGTTGGCTGTCCCTTCATCCACCCAGCCCAAGGCCAGGCCTGCCACGGCCAGGCGCTGGGTAAACCGAGGAAACCCCAATTGCAGGGGATTGGGGGGTTGCTCTTGTTGGCCTGTTTGCTTCTTCAGGCAGGGGAGAGCCCGGCCGGGCAGAAACGGGTCTCAGGAAACTCTGGAGAGGAAAACTGCTCCCCTGGGCTCCCCAGCTGGCCCCCCGCCCCCGGGAGGCCTGGAGCCCTCACCAGTGACGGTTCATTCCCATTCCCTCTCCCAGGTACAGTCTATAAGCATGAAAGTCAAACACGTCCTGGGCTGGCAGGAAATAGGCAGAACTTGCTCCCCGTGTCTGTGACCTGCCCACACCCCATCCTAGTCTCCCCAGCCAGCGAGGAGGGCGGGCAGGAGAAGCGGGAGGAGCCCTTGCCGTGCCCCGCCCTGGGCGGGCCCTTCCACACACGGACCATCTCCCTGAAGACAGGCTCCCCCACGGCCCCGTTTTACACCCGTGCAAACCGAGTCCAGAAAGAAGGCCCGGCTCTCGCGTCGGGGGAGGCGTGGACCCAGGCCTTCCTCCTGCGCCTGCGCTCTTTCTCTCTGCGGCTGGGCCGCTGATGCCAACCCTCCCCATCTCCTCTGGATGTCTCCCAGCCCTCCTTGCCTTAGAACCCCAAATCTCATCCCTGTAGCTAAGTTACAATCCCCACCCCCGTCCTTGGCGGTACCCCTGCCCCTGGAGCCCCCGGTGCAAGTCCCTCTCTCCTGTGGGCTCACGTTTCCCAGGAGTCACTCCTGGAGATGGCCAGCACCGAGGGTGGGGGCGCTGCAGGGACCAGGAGCAGTTTGGGCGAGGCCTGGCCTAATCTCCCCTCCCCAGGGCCTGGGTATTGTCCGCCTGGCCGCCAAGGGTCATTCATTGGCTTTCCTGGTGGGCGGTTCTGACAGGCCCCTTGTCTCCATGGGCAAGGCCCGGAGGCCGTGGCTGAGCGATGGCCAGGGGGCCTTGGGCTCGTTGTCTCTGTCAACGGGGTGGGGGTGGGGAGGGCAGCGTCCTCATCCCTGTGCCTAGTCTGGTCTGGCCTGTCAGCCAAACTGTCCCCAGTGCAGGGCCAGGAAGGAGGAGCTAGCAGCTGGGGTGTTTTCCCTTTGGGGTTGCCCTGAACCCACAGAAGTGGGGCTTGGTCATCAGCTCTTAGGTGACTGGGCATGTCTCTCTACTCTGCGTCTCCAGGGAATAGGGAGACGCTGCCTCTCAGGCGCACACAGGGCACTGCCAGAGGAGCCGTGTGAGTGTCGCATCTCAGTGTAGGGGAGCATGGTTGTCTGGGGAAGCAAGAGGAATCCATTAAAAACACCAAACATGTTAACACCTTTGACCCAACTAATTCTTCCGCATGGAGTTTATGCTTGGGAGACACCCAATGAAGTGAGCATGAAGATGTTTATTGCCATATTATGGATAATACAGAAAAAAATGGAAGCTACCTATGTCCAACAAATACATTATGACTTGGCCCCTTAAAGAAATATTATGAAACCATTGAGAGTGAGAATTATAAAAACAACATAGTGAAAAGAAAACTGCCAATGACATAGCAGTAAAGGAAAAACAATGAATGCAAGTTAAGATGCCTGGAGCAGCAGCAGCTCTGTGTGATGATGAGGCAGCCAGCGTGTCCAAATGCAACCTGTCACACATGACGAGGCCCTTGCATGGAGAAGCGTATAGCACTTTACCCATAACCGCCCAGACGTGGAAGCAACCAAGATGCCCTTCCACAGGCGTGTGGATAAGTAAACTGTGGTCTGTTCAGACAACAGAATATTATTCAGTGTCTAAAGGAAGCGAGCTCCCAGACCATGAAAAGACACGGAGAAAACTGAAATGCGTGGTACTAAGGGGAAAGTGCCAGTTTGCAAAGTCTGCATTCCATATGATTTCGACTATATGACCTTCTGGAAACGGCAAAACCACGAAGACCATGAAGAGACCAGTGGCTTCCAGAGGCTGCGGGAGGGGAGGGGTGAACGGACGGAGCCCAGAGGGTTTGTAGGGCAGTGAGACACTCCGTGTGACCCCACAATGATGGCGACAAGTGGCTACCCTCTTGTCCAAACCCACAGAACCCACCGTACTGGGAGCGAACGCCGACGTAAACCGTGGACTTGGGGTGGTCGTGACGCGTTCATACGCGTTCACCAGCTTCACGGAGGCACCGCTCTGGGGAAGGGTCTTGATGACGGTACAGGACACCCCACACGTGTGAATCAGAGGGTAGTTGGGAAGTCTCTGTACCTTTTGCTCAGTGGACTGGGAACCACTTCAAAAAATAAAGTCAACTTAAAGGGTGGGGGGAAGAACGTTGGGGCAGCAAGATTGAAAGACCCGGGTCCATGACGTGCTTGGGCTGCCTCCCACCGGAGACCCGCTGCTGCCAGGGAAAAAACAGCCCCTTTGTTCACGGCCCTGAGGTTGGTTGCAGCCGGGCATTTCCAACCGATACACGGACAGAGACTTGAAAACACAGCGGCTGGTGCACAAGATTCGGAGTCAGAGAAACCCACGTTCCAGCCCCACTTCTACTCTGTTACCGTGTGACTTTGGGCGAGCCACTTCCCCTCTGAGCCTCGGTCTCTTCAGCGGTAAAATGGAGCTAATGCGCCTACCTGCCAGGCTTTTCAAGGATGCAAAGACAGGACAGACCTGGAAGAGCTCCGTTAACAGTGCTGTTTAGGTTTAGTTGAATTAAGCTAAAAATCTGAACTAAAACAAAGGAAAGAAATGAGCTATCATGTGAGAGGAAGGGAAATGATCATGAATTTGTTCTTCTTGGTTTTTTTTTTTTTTTTTTTTTGGTCTCAAACATTCTTCAAGGCTGCTCTGGCTCTCCCTCTTCTAGGCGGTGACCCACCCTAGAGTGGAAGGGTCTGGACCCGGGGCAGGGGCTGCTGATGTCCCGCAAGGAGCTGGCGGTAGGTGGAGCTCGAGGTGCACGGCAGAGCCGGGCCGGGTGCTGGGCTCCGCACCTTGGCCCTGGCAGGCGGGCGGGCACTTGGGAGACTCGGCATCAGCGCCTGTGACTTGAGGTAAAAATAATCAGGGAAGGACAGCTGCTTCCTTGTCAGCAACCAAGAGGGAAATAAAGCTCACGTCCCCTCCAGCGAAAACCTGCTCTCTGGGTCCCCTGGCTCCTGCCACCAACTGCTCCATGTCTGCGTGCCAATCCAATTTGAACGCCTGTGATTCACCCCAGAGAGGGTTTATTTTAACTTCATCAAGCGCAGAGAAAAACATCCAGGCTGGAGTGAGCGGGAGGGGGGCGGGCAGGTGCGTGGAGGCCCAGGCAGGGGACGGGGTCCTGGGCCTCCTGCCCCCCCAGTGGTTGGACTTGGGGGTTCCCTCCTCCTGATCTGGTTTAATGGTTGACCACGTCGCTGTGATGCAACCAAGGCTCAGCGAGCACCTGGCAGGTGCTCCCTGAAATCAAGGGGATGGTGTCCTGACTCCTCTGCCCAGCTCAGGAAGTCCTTTCTGATGTCCCAAGCCCCCTCTCCTGTCCCCTCTTTTCTCCAAACACCCGCTGGGACGGAACCAGGCTTCTCTCGAAGGCCCAGACGTGCTGCTTCTCGCCCGACGCCGGGCCTTTGTACGCGCCGTGCCGTCCGTCCGAATGGCCGCTCCCCTGTTTCCCTGCCTGGTGGACGTCCAGAAACTCTGGGGTGTTCTTAGCCGCACTTCGAGGCTCAGCTTGGTGTCACTGGCCACTCTCCTGCTGCTCCAGGAGGAGTGAGCTGCCGTCTGTGGGTTCCTGCGGGACTTGGTGCGTCCCTCCGTTTCAACAAGGAAGGGGGCAGGGCTGCATCTCCCTTCCTTCCTCTCCCCTCTTCTGTCCCCTCTCCACCAGCTGCCGGGGCTGGGTGCCGGGGGTAGATGGGAGTCCCGGCCACCCCCGCCCTCACACAGTGCTGCATGGACAGCGTCGGCCCAGGGATGGGTGGTTCTCGGGCTGTGGGGACGGTGTGGTAAGAGCTGCCCAAAAAGAGTTCTCGAGGCCAATCTCTCTGCACCTGGATCAGCCGGCTCTGAAGCCGGCACCGGTCAGTGTTGCTAGCAACCAATGATCCAAAAGGCCAGGTCACCAAAAGTCAATTAATAAATGATTAACGCATTTAAGAAATGGGCCATTTGCCAAATGAATCAGATGCATCTATTAAACAAAAATCGTTTCTTTTACCTGGGGGTTGGAAGCAAGTCCATGACTGTGGCAGAGAACTGCTCACCCTTAGGAAATCAGCTTCTGGTTTCCCGCTGAGCATCTGCCTGAGGGACGAGGGACGTGGGGCAGCTGTGAGATGGGAACTGTCTGTCCGTCATGAGCTGGCTTGCTTCCTTCCTTCCTTCCTTCCTTCCTTCCTTCCTTCCTTCCTTTCTTCCTTTCTTCCTTCCTCCCTCCCTCCCTTCCTTCCTTTCTTCCTTCTTTTCCTTTTTCTTTTTTTTAACCCTCCCCTGCAGACATTGTTGTCGATTTTAGAGAGAGGGGAAGGGAAGGAGAGAGAGGGAGAGAAACATCAACGTGAGAAACATCAATCGGTTGCCCCTTGTACACGTCTTACTATGGGACCAAACCCGCAACCTAAGCATGTGCCCTGACTGGGAATTGAGCCCATGACCTTTCGATTTACAGGACGACACTCCAACCAACTGAGCCACATCGGCGAGGGCAGAGCTGGCATTTTCTGGTCCTCCACATCATCAGGTCATGTGGGCACAACCGCTCTTCCTCAAATGATGAAAATCATACGTTGGAGTTTGGGCCCCACCAGGCCCAGAGGACGGAAATCGTATGCCTGTGAGGCCCAGGTCTCTGAGCCTCTTGCCTCCCTCTTCTAAGGACCCTTGTGGTTGCGCTGACCCCCCCTGCGGAGTCCAGGCTGATCTTCCACTTCA